TGTTTTTGTTGTGATGAGATAACCCAACTTCCCCATTCACGATAATGGACGGACTGGTTGCCGATAAAGTACGACAACAGCGAACAGTAAGAAAAAGGTCTTCGTTTGCTAACACCTATTGAGGTTAGCATACTCCCGACTCTGGTCTCTGTATTTGACAAACCTACATCCGATTATAAAATTATTATTGAAAACCACACTCGGGGTTACTTTGTTTATTATATCTTGCACGAGATATAACAGTTATAGTCCAGTGTGTTTTTAGCAAATTTAGACATTTCTTCACAGGAACACTTGTATATAAAGATTTTATAACTAAACTAATCATATATTTGTTTTTAATTTCTATGCTTTTTTAATTTATTTAAGAGATCCCCAGAGTTTTTTTTTCATATGCAAGGAGCTAATTGTACCAAGAAGTGGGGTAAAAACATTGGTTAGTATACCAGCTAGTTTATGTGGGGTGCTACCTATTACTGATATAATGTGTCTCATCGGGATGTACCGTTTATGTATTTTTGGTAATCTGTAAAGTGGGGGAGTTTTCAGGTGATGAGTTTTACCCAGGAATTGTCTTCAGTTTCTAATAATTTCTTGCTTTCATCTTTTTAATTTTTGCATCACTTTTATGACCTTGTGTTCATTTATTTTTTGTAAATATTTTGGTCATCGAAGTGATGCCTCATTGTTTGATGATAAATGCATTTGTCCATAATTATAATTCCACCACCTTTGTCAGAAGGGGATATATGAGTCATCTCAAAAATATTTTATCACATAGATATATAAACAAATGCCCAAGAAAGATTTGGATATTATTGGGCAGTTTCTCATACATTGCAGACAGAACTTATGGACCATGTATTTGAGCCAGGGTAAAATAGGCCATTAACCAGTTGTGGCATCCTACTGGTTTACACCGATTTATCCGAAACCAGTTCTTAAAATTATAAATGCTTAGTGAACTGGTTGTTGGATTATCCAAAAATAATCTTAATAGCCAATATATAATAGCTAAAAATATCATTAATAACATTGCTGTAAGTTCTGTGGAGGCTGAAAGAGGGTTTTCTGTGATGAACATAATTTATTCTGACAAAAGAAATCATCATTAAAAATGTAGCAAATCTTCTAATCATAAATTTGATAGGCATTCCATTGGCTGTAGCAATTCAATTCAAATGTGCCTAAGAAACCATAGCACAGCTGATGACTCTAGAGTCAAAAAGCATCATACTTCTGAACAGAAATGGGTGCCCCCTACTTTCGGCCTTGTGCTACATCTAAGCTATGCTTGGAAAATCACTACTTCTGAACAGAAATATGATCAGAACAAAATTTCAATCTGGAAATATCTTAATAAATAAATGTTTTCTATTAAATTATCAAAATGGTTTAATTCTTTTTGATGCTATAAAGTGATTTGTTTTTATTTTCAGATTGAAAAGAAAATAAGCAGAATAGGTTACTAAAGATTACTTGACTTTATAGAACTGATTCCTGGGAATTTTGAAATACCATTATTGACTTTAACCAAAGACTGGCACAAGAGTAAATGATGTAATATTGGAATGAATAAAATGTTAACTAATGAAAATTCAAGTCTCATGTTATTATTTAATCAGCATCCTCGCTTCTTTACATGAACACAAGAAATAATCTCTCATATATAACTTTGCATTTTATCATAATCCAGACAATTAACATCTGCCAGTTAGTGTTTAGGTGCACTCAGGATCTACTCTGAATTTGCACTATTCATTTGGGTGGATGTATGAAAGACACTCCTGCTGCTTTTCAAGGTTTTGTTTATATATTTATCTGACAAACTGTTTTCCCACATGCTCACCTATCTGGTGCAACTTGAAGGATCATATAGATCTGCTGCACTCAGAAGTTAATAAGTCATATTCCAGATCAACACTGTGTCCAGCTTCTCTGAAGGATACACAGAGTGCAAAATTGATTTTGTCATAATCTGGGGTGAGACATATTCTATATATGATAGGATCTTAAATGATCTTTATTTGTGAGACGTAAGTGATCATGGCTCTCTACAACTTCATAACCTTTGTCATGCTGAGCAATGTTTGTTTTTTTACTATCCCTCCCATACCCTGTTCTGCTTCTGATTGGATCTTAATTGATAGGATCCTTAAGAAAACGATCTTTGATTGGATCTTAATTGATAGAACCCGTAAGAAAACAATCTTTGATTGGATCATAATTGATAGGACCCTTAAGAAAACAATCTTTGATTGGATCTTAATTGATAGGACCCTTAATTGATATGATCTTTAAAATTTACTCTTGATTAGATTTTAATTGATAGGGCCCTTAAGAAATTGATCTTTGATTGTATCTTAATTAATAGGATCTTTAAAATTTATTTTTGATTTGATCTTAATTGATATGATCCTTAAGAAATTGATCTTTGATTGGATCTTAATTGATAGGATCTTAATTGATAGGATCTTGAATGATAGGATATTTAAAATTTACTTTTGATTGGATCTTAATTGATAGGATCCTTAAGAAGTTGATCTTTGGATCTTAATTGATAGGATCTTTCAAATTTATTTTTGAT